AAAGAGGAAGCAGATGGGAGCAAAGCGCCCGCGGCTTTGGGCGGCAAGTCGTCCGGGAGCCAAGCGTCTCTTTTTCGATCTCTTTGTTCTTCCTGCTGCTTGGCAAAGTGGTCCGCTACAGATTAACGGTGAAAGGGGTTCTTACACGCTGTGCGAAATCTCAATTAAAGCCGCTGCTCTGAGCACCACGCTCAGCACTTCAGCAACCCCCGTGCGCAGCAGCCATCTTCCTAAATGTTAGATTCTAAGGACTTTAGCTGCATTATCTCATTTAACCCTCCCAAATATACATTCATATTATTGATGAATAAATTAAAAACTCAGAGAAATTATACAGTTAATAAGCTCTTGACACAGTTTTTGCACCCACATAAAAACTTATTTTCAAATATCACACCAAAACAAGATAATCTCTGTTTTTGTTTTTTCAAGATTTATGTTTATACTCTTTTACTCCAATACATTTTTATTTTTCGAGTGCTTACTATTTGACCAACTTTGTGCATCTCATTGTTGTTTTGTTTTTACTTGGAAATAATTTGTGACTTAAAAAAAATACAGGGTTCACATTTATTTTCCCTAATGTCACTAATGGATCTGGCCATTGTATAAATGTCCAAATTATAGATATCAGGAAATTAATATTGACTCATAGTATTATTAACTAAATTATAGACTTTAAATGAATTTCACCAGTTCATCCCTTAATGTCCTTTTTCTGTTCTAAGTCAAACCTAGGATCCCACATCATATTTGAGTCTGTCTCATAAGTCTTCAACGTATGGATGTTCGTCAGTCTTCTTTTCCTTCATGATTGACACTGTTAATGAATACTGCTAATTTATTTTGTTTGTGGTCTTTCAGTATTTTCTCAGGGTTCTACTGAGGTTATACATATTTGGAAGAATACTACAGAGATGATGTGCTCTTTGGGGGGCACCAGAGAATACATGATGTTGATATATTTTATTATAGTGATGTAGTTTATACATTGTGAAGTTACTCTTTCCCCTTTTTGTTTGATAAATGCTTTGGAGGAGAAATGTTGATATTATATAAATATTCTGTTTCTCCTCAAATTTTCCCTTACTACTTTCCTTGTTGCAAGTTACTTTACATGATTATTTTATGTATTATTCATAATTAAAAAGGCATTGCCTTAACTTTCAAAGTAGACGACTAACTTTCAGAGCTAAGCTTATACTTTTTAGCAGGAACAATAGTAAATAAAATCTGAAAATTTTGGGGCTGGGATTGTGGCTCAGTGGTAGAGTACTTGCCTAGAACATTCAAGGCCCTGGGTTCGATCCTCAGCACCACATAAAATAAGTAAATAAAATAAATATATTGTGTCCAACTACAACTAAAAATAAATAAATATTAAAAAAAAAAGTACCTATGAAAATAAGCCAGGGCCGGGGGGAACAATTTATGACCAGTATAAGACAGTAGTACTTTTGCACACATGAAGAATAATTAGCTACCAAGAGATCATATGAGCTAAATATGTATGTCTAAAATCAAAATAGTTAAAGTTACATGTGAATAATAATGAATATAATAGAACTGCTGAGGAAAATGGCTGCATAGGCTTGTTTTTAAGATTAAGTCTCTTCTCACTTAAATGAACAAAAAGAACCAAAAGTAGAAAAGAAAATGGTACCTTTACTGAAACTAAAAAAAGCCCTAAACCATATGCAGTGAGCTATAGTTGTCTTTCTAATTACCAGGACTAAATTTTATTTCTCATTTAAACAATATTATATTAATCAACTTTGTGTAAGTGTGTGTGTGTGTGTGTGTGTGTGTGTGTGTATGTATGTATGTATATATATATATGTATATGTATGTATGTATGTATATATATATATGTGTATATATATATATATCTTTTTCTACTGGTTCTTTATTTCTACAGATTAGATTCTCAATAGTAGAATTACAAAATTCAGGCATATACATACAATTGTGTGTATTATGTAGATAGATCTATATAAATTTAAAAATATTATAGATAACTTTCTCAAGAAAAATAATCCCCCAAAATGTGTGTGTATCTCTGTGTGTCTTTGTGTGTTTATTTTACTACTTATTTTGCATGGGAGGAGTGGAGACTCTCTATATTAGAGACTACCATGCCAGATTCTTGGACACCGAAGACCAACAAGTATATTACTATCTAGATTTAAAAGACAAGAATGCCCTCTATTCAAATATGATATTTTCTTGATTCTTTAAGATAATACAGGAATTATATTGCAATTGAATAAATAATATTCTTTAAGAAGAAGAACATAATTTTAATTTTCCTAAGTTTTGTGGTATTGCACATTTGTGGGAAATTACTGTTTAAAACACTGTTAATTTTTTTGGACATAAGAAAACTCTGTAAATCTATTAGAAGAGATTTAGTACACTAAAATTAAACTTATTTCAAACCAGGTGCAGTGGCAGTTGTCTGTAGTCCCCATTACTTGGGGGAAGGTGAAGTTAGAGGATCACTTGAGTCAAAAAATGGAAAACTAGGGTGAGAACCTGTCAACACACACACACACACACAAAAAAAAAAAAAAAAAATTTAAACTTATTTTATTAATTGGCATTTTTTGTAGTCCATTTTCTGTTACTATAACAGAATACCTGATATTGAGGACTGTTTATCTCACAATTCTGAAGGCAGGAAGTTCAAGATCAGAAGAGCTTACTTAACTATATGGAGTGGCTTCCCTTTTACACTTCTCCAAAGAAATAGCCCATTTCCAAGGAAATAAGAATTCACTCACTTCTGCCCAGTCCCAGAAGAAAGGCATCAATTTCTCATAAGGACTTAATCACCTTTTGAAGACCCAACTTCCCAACACTCCTGCACTGTGAAATTTAGCCTCAACATGAGCATTTTTAAGATATGAAAGTATTTTTTCCTATTTTATGACAACTATATATTTATAAATTTATAATTTAAAAAGTAAGCAAAGGGATTATATATGTTTAGTTCTTTTGAATAATTTTGAGAATTATAATACTGAGAATCAATTTTTTCCCTCTCTTGTAGATATGGATTCTGGAGAACGGTTGCCATCCTCAACAGCCTCGTCTACCACACCAACTTCATCTTCTACACCTTCTGTGGCTTCAGCAGTTTCAAAAGGTGGCCTTTCCACTGTAGCTGCTTCACTTAGCTCTACAATCAACCCATGTGGTAAATACCCTTTATTAACTCAATTTTAGAATGCCATCTTTTTGATCATTTGCATTCTTAATAAAGAGATCTAAATAAAATGTTCTCATGAATTCTGCTGACCTGTTGAATAATGGCTGGGTTAAACAGCTAGTGTTCTTTGCTTTTTCTGGATCTTTCACTGGGATATCCTTGGTTATTCCATGCTTTTCCTGCTTACTGGAAAGTCTCTTTGAGGGATTGAATCTTAATATCGTAATTTTTTTTACCATGTTAATTAAGGAATTAGTAAGTATAAAGTCTTTTTTTTAAAATAATAGACCTATGAGGGAATCAAGAAATACAGAAGAGGTCTTGGTAATAAGATTTAGTACCAATGCTGTGGATTCTTTGTCCTAATCTTGTTGCTCGTATTTGAAATGACGTTCAGATGCTCCAGCTACCCCAGTTCACAGATATATATTACACTAAGGCAGATTATTTACTTAATGGGAAATTAAATTAAAACAAATGAACAAATAGCAACAACAAAACCCTAAACTTGATTAACTCATTCATTTATTAGCAGGAAGCATTTTAGCCTTACTTTTTTTATCTTGTAGAATTATTTCATGATTATAAACAGTTGAACTAAATAAACATCTTACTTTTTTTCAAGTTAAAATTTGTAATTTTATATAAATAATACATAAAAATATGGAATATTTGCTTAAATATCCTAGCAAATTATTAACTATATTTTCTGTTATTTTTGTTTTTTAAGCAATAAAATAAAAAAGGATGCCATTGAATTTATCATAGAATGATGTTCTTAGTGATTACCAAATAACTAAAATGACATATCTTAAAAATCAGTATAACCCTTCCTGTATACCTTGTATAGTCTTCATCAAGTAATCTAACAACTTTGTCCACATTTTTCTTATACATAAATGATGTCTGGATTCTAAGATCAGTGATGATATGCTTTGCTAAAAGACAGTGATGCCACAATTTATTTTTTACCCAATATTACTTTGAATGATTGCAAACAGTTGTATTTTTGTAAAATTTTTCCCTGTTTTTATAACTCCTCTTCCTCTTTCCTTTGCTGTCAACTCCTTTTAATGTATTCTCATCTGCTTTCTTATTTAGTATTTGTTTCTTTTATCCTTACTATAGTGGTGTTTCTAGAAAAATGTTTTTTTCTTTTCTTTTTGTTTAAATGTTAAAGGTTTCTGGGTAGTTTTTTCTCATTTTTCTTAATCAATGATACTGGCATTGCTTACAATTCTGATTACTTATATTTTCGGCACCATTCTTTGTTAGTTGTAATGGGGAGTTTCAGAAAGGATGGGATATTCTAAGTTGCTAAATAACATCAGAAATCTTGTAAGAAAAGGGAGTAGTTTTTGCTATTAAAAGAGGGTGTAGAGGTTTTATATTGAGATGCTTATACATTAAATTAAAGTGTAATTTTTGTTTATTCAAAAGTTCATCACTTATTAACACATTATATTTTAAATACCTACATGATAATATTTTTTTCACTTGGCAAAATGAGTTTTAAAAATTTTTAACTTTTACAATGTTGTATTTCATATTTCAAATAGTTTATTCCCACCCAAGGCTACTGAGAATGTCTTTTAAGGTTGCTCAGTTTATTTTTTTATCTTTTCTTGTTTGATTCATTGTTTTTGGCTTATATATTATCTGATAATCTTCCCATTTGAAAGTAAAATCAAGATTCATAATGGGCTCGATCCCTTTATCTTAAACAATTTGATCTCTCTCTCTCTTTTTTTTTTTTTGCTATATAAAGACAGCAGAGCAGAATTGTCATCTTTTTTTTTTTTTTAAGTTGTCGATGAACCTTTGTTTTATTTATTTATATGTGGTGCTGAGAACCGAACCCAGCGCCTCATACATGCCAGGCAAGTGCTCCACCACTGAGCCACAACCCAGCCCAAAATCTCATCTTTAAAATGCCAAAGGCTCAACAGTTTTTTTCATGGATCTCTGGTGTTATTCTGTTATTTTACACATTATTTTGTTTTAGAATTTCATTTATTTCTTTGTCACCTTCATTAATGATGTATCTATAGAAATTCTTTCAAGCTATATAGGATGTAATTTGAACTTGCTTTCATACTTTGAATTACCACCTATTTGCTATTGAATCAATATCTTGTCAAGGTCCAAGATTATACCTACTTATAGGTTAGCCTATTGCTATATTGGATGCTGACAGAAGACATGGATCAGAGATTCTGTTGCTTATGGCACAGCAAACTACATGAGTATGATATTGGCTTTGGTTCTCTATGCCTAAGTTCCACAGGGATGATGCAGATCCCATCATGTATGGGTTTCTGTCACATCTGAGGAACATTGGAATTGAGAAATTGAGTGCTTTTATCGATGAGAGTAAGCTCATTCTTTGCAAGGAGGATGTTTGTTACCGTATCTTTTAAGGTTGCTCACTGCAAATGTCATAGTCTTGAGAATAGCCCAGTTAAAGAGTGATCAAGGCCTGCATTCTTGACATATCCAACAATAACATGCAGAGATGCTAAGGGCCTTGGATAATTGCCTCTTACAACACTTTTAGTTTTATTAAAACTTTTAGTTTTATTTTATATCTCATTAATAATAGAGGTAACTTGGATTAAAAAAATATTTATAACACTGCAGTAAAGATCAGTTTAAGGCAGGCATGGTGGTGCATTCCTAAAATCCCAGTAACTCGTGAAGCTGAAACTATAGGATTGCATATTTGAGGCCAGCTTCATCAATTTGTGAGTCCCTAAGCAACGCAGTGAGTTGCTGTCTCAAAATAGAAAAATTAAAAGGGCTGAGGATGTAGCTCAGCGATAAAGCACCCTGGGTTCAATACCTAGTACCAAAACAAAACAAAATTAAGACTGTTTGTATATATGGGTTTTAGTGGTCTTGTCTGAAGAGTAATATTTCTTTTCCATTAGGAATACACATACACATGCGTATTTTTTTAAATAAATTGCATACTCTTAAAAATGAATTTGAGACAGCTTTCACTATGTGTATAGCACAATAAACAAAAATAGTTAATGAAAATGTCAAAAGATAGGCTCTAAGAAATAAAAAAGATGTCAGCTGTAGAAAACCACAGATATTGAACAAAAAACTTAACTAGTTATCAGCTAAGCATAAAAAGAAAACACCTTACTCTGGTGCTATTTAAGTATATTAGTTTCTCAGAAAAAAACACATTGTTTTTGGCCCTGAGTAATATGGGGAATTTGCCACTGGAGCTTTTGTTTAAGAATTCAGATGATGCACACTATCCCACATTCTAGGTTCAGAGATATTCAGATATTTTTCCACATATTGTCTCTGGGTAAAAATGGAGAGTGGAATACAAGCATAATTTCACAAATAAACTTTGCATAATGAATTTGTTTGAGATTTGTGATTATTCAACCTAATACAAAGATAGAATTTTGAAAAATTTAAATAATAGTCAAGCTGTACCATAGACCAGTGCTTTTCAATCCGTCTTTGAAGATAGATTTCTTCAAACAAAAGCTTATGCAAATGTAAAATATGTAAAACTGATAAACTATTAAAAACCACTCTGGTTGAGGCTGGAATAGGTCTGCTTTTAAAAATTTAAGGGATTGCTTTTCCTATGAATCTTAATTGTAGGCCTCTATAAACATGTGCCAAATTATGGTATATCAAAGAAATAATAAGTTGATCAATTTAGGCTATTTGTTAGTTATGACAGTGATTAACTATGGGTAGGAAAGCATGGCAGATGAACACACCAGCCCATAGGTAAGCAGTCCTGAAGTGGGAAATGTCATCACAGTCCTAGGCTCCTTCTAATTATACATTTCTTCTTCTAAAATGTGAGATTTTATGCTTACGTAGGTATCTCAGAACTACAAGAGGGCTGATCCACCAGGAAGTGAGCGGGTATGGGATAGGCAAAAGTTGCATGCCAATTGACTTTGTCTCCTTTTAAGTTTTTCCAGAAACCCCACCCAGAGATTTCTACTTACATCTTTTTCATCAGAACTGTGTGAGTGATGATGTCAGCTTCAAGAAAGGCCAGGGAGAATAGGTTTTAGATGAGCATATTTTTATCATGAATAAAACAGATGTTCTGTAACTAAGGAAAAAGGAAAGAGTAGATTGGTAATATGTGTGCCACTAAGGGCTAAGTACAGCAAAGGATAGGAACGAGGTTAAGCTTGGGAGTAGGCCAAGACCAGGTCATTTAGAATTTATGTGGCATGCTTAGGAATTGATGCAGAATAATTCAGTATTAAAAGCAAAGACTTTGCTATCTAAAGGCCCTGAAATTGAATCTTGGCTTGTCAAGATACCTCATTAATAATATAGTTATACCAGCACCTACTTTATAATATTATGAGAATAAATAAGTTCTTATATATAGTAGGTGCTTGGTAAATTGTAACCATTATTTTTTTTCATACTTTATCCAAAAGGAATGGATTTATGTGATCACATTACTTTGAAAATGATAGCTCTGAGGAATTTGGAGTATCAGTTTGCAATGGGGATAGAACCAAAGGCAAAGACAACCTTATATCCATACTTAAAATATAAGTATTTGAACATGAATATATTTATATGCTCATACTTATACTTATTATATTTAAATTATATATATGTATGTGTGTGTATATATATGTGTATATGTATTTATTCAGGTGTGAAATAAGGAGGACCTAAATGAAAGAGAATTGGAAATGGAATAATATGCAAGGTTCCAAAGAGATAGATAGATATATATATATTTTGGGGGGAGGGTGTCCATTTCTTTCTTTTTAAAAAATTCTTATTTGTCATGTATGACAGAGAATGCATTACAATTCATATTACACATATAGAGCACAATTTTTCGTATGTCTGGTTGTACACAAAGTAGAGTCATACCATTCTTGTCTTCATACATGTACTTTGGATAATGATGTCCATCACATTCCACCATCATTTCTAACCCCATACCCCCTCCCTTCCACTCCCTCCCC